TTTTGTTTTCTGAGACAAGGTTTCTATGGAGCCTGTCCTGGAACTCATTCTGTAGACCAGGCTGAACTCACAGAGATCCTCCTGCCTCTGCCTCCTGAGTACTGGGATTAAAAGCATGCGCCACCACTGCCTGGCTTCATTCAGCTTTTAAAGCAGCAAAAAAACCAGGCATGACTTTAATCTCAGTGCTAGGGAGGCAGAGGCAGACAGATTTCTGTGAGTTTGAGGCCAGCCTAGTCTACTTAGGGAGTTCCAGGTCAATGAGGCTGAATATAACATATATATATATATATATATATATATATATATATATATATATGTGTGTGTGTGTGTGTGTGTGTGTGTGTGTGTGTGTGTGTGTGTTTTTAAAGATTATTAACTTTCAAATGACAAAATGGAGGAAAGAAATGTTGGAGTTACCTTCTAACAAGAGCAAAATGGAAGTGTGTGGTTTGTTTTAATGTTGAAGTTAAAAGACTCATGGCACACATTCTCTCTGCACCCCTCCTTGCTTTCCTAACCGTCTGAGCTACTTGGGACTCTTGATTGTTGCTCCCTTTAGCTTTAGTTCTTCATGCTTTCTCTTTGTAAATGAAAGGTAGCAATTGTATCTGTCACGTACTCCATGTCCTTCTGAAACGCACATGTGTGGTGAAGTGGCCAAACCCCACTGGCCCGCATCATGCCTGCAGGCTTCATAACTTCATACACTCGCTACTTCTGTCATGAGAACGAAGTTTGATCTCCTGGTACTTTTCAAGAATATGCTCCACTATCATTAACGATGGTCACCATGCCATCCAGTAGAGCTGTGATTAATAGCTTTATTGATATTATATTCATATACAAAGAAATTACTTACTTAAAGGGAACAGGTCATGACTTTGGGCTCAATGATAGTTAGAAAAACTATTACCTAAGTCAGTTTTTTTGTTTGTTTGTTTGGCTTTGGTTTTTTGAAACAGGGTTTCTCATAGCTTTGGAGCCTGCCCTAGAACTCAATCTGTAGACCAGGCTGGCCTTGAATTCATAGAGATCCACCTGCTTCTGCCTCATGAGTGCTGGTATTAAAGGCGTGCACCACCACCACCCAACCTAAGTCAGTTTTAAAACATTTCTGTCCCATTGGAAAGTTCCCTAGTCCCTCTGTCTGTTGTCCCAAACCTTCCCTGAATGCCATCCCCAGTCACTGCTAATGTTTGTGGCTCTGTAGATAGGTCTGGGTGGGTCATATAAGTGAGCAAGGCTGCATGTGGCCTTTGCTTGGCGTCTGCGTGTGTCTGCTAAGCATACTGTTTTCAAAGTTCATCCAATTGTCGTCTCTAGCATGTTTTGATTTCTTTTTATTGCCAAATATTATCATATTTTGTGGATAGATTCCATTTTATTTATCTGGTTACCAGGAGATAGACATTTGAAGTGTTTCTACTTTGGGAATACAAACATGATTCACTGTTGAAATAATCTCAGGGCAAATTCAGTGTTTTTAATTCTCATTTTTTTTCCCCGTAGTCACGTATTTTTCCCTCAAGAGTGACTATATGCTATCCATACATGTTGCCAATACTCGTCTAAATGTATTGTGTGTGGAGTACTGGTGATGAAAAAAAAGAACCACCCACAGAAGTGTGTGGTTTGACTGGGCACTTAGTAATTCGTAGAAGCCTGGAAATGACAGCAAACATGATCCAAGGATCCCTTTTCTTCTCAATGAGATGCCTTGGGATCATGATGAGGTTAAAATTTTAGCTGTGTGACTTTGGGCAAGGTAGTTAACCTCTCTGAACTCCTAGTTCTATGAAACGAAGAAAACAAAAATCGTGCCTGCGTCCTGGTACTCTGGTGAGAGACCTGAGTTAGACCACACACAGCTTTGCCCAGGGAAAGGTTAGCTGGTATTTCCAGTGTAAAAGCCAGGGCCCAAGAGAGCCTGGGCTATGCCTGTCAACCCAGCTATTCAGAGGCTAAGGCAGGTCAAGGCTAGCCTGGACGACAAAATGAACTCAAGGCAGCGTGGGCAACTTAGTGAGAGCCCGTCTCACAAAACAGGAAAGAGGCTGGAGGTATAGCTTGGTGGTGGAACATTTATCAAACACATATAAGGTTCAAAATTCTATCCCCAGTACTGAAATAATTGATTGATTAATTAATGTGTAAATTTGTGCCCAGTAACCCAAATCCTTGACTTCCATGTCCAGTGTGAGTTTTCTGAGATCATCTACCTTGTGATGATAAAATAATGGTTTTGTTAGCCCCCTTCCTCTCTGTGGGTCAAATGAAGTCACAGATGGCAAGAGTGTGGCCCCTGGCACTTCCTCGACTCTTTCCCTGTTGTGCCCATCTATCAGTTTTAGAAGTTTCTAGACATAGCCTCTGAAAATCACTTTTCCAGTGAACCACTCTCTAAGTGATAGTCTAGCAAACGTGGTGACTTGGAGCCGTCTGAGGATGGGGGCTCTGCAGCCCTGAGTATCTGAACACACTGAGACAGGGTTGGAGTTCTTACTTGATGGAGGACGGTAATTGGTTAAAAAATAAAGAAACTGCCTTGGCCCATTTTATTGGTTAGAACATAGGTGGGTGGAGTAAACAGAACAGAATGCTGGGAGAAAGAAGCTGAGTGGAGGAGTCGCCATGATTCTCCCACTCCAGATAGATGCAGGTTAAGATCTTTCCTGGTAAGCCACCTCATGGGCTACACAGATTATTAGAAATGGGTTAGCTCAATATGTAAGAGCTAGCCAATAAGGGCTGGAACTAATGGGCCAGGCAGTGTTTAAAAGAATACAGTTTCCGTGTAATTATTTCGGGTGTAAATCTAGCCGGGTGGCGGGACCCAGCCCGCCGCATATTACTACACTTACTCTCTTGATGCAGTAGCTGAGCTTTTTGCTAATGGTTTATTATATCCATCTCCATGCAGTGGAAAGTGTCTCAATAAACAGTTGCATGGAAAATCCCTAGGATCTTCGATCAATACTATATAGTACTTGATTATTGTCCATGCCTCCAGGCATTCATCCACGGAGGATCTATGTTTTAAAGTCAAACCAATGAACCGCCTTGCAGACATGGGAATTACCCTCCTTCAGTTGCCTGAGCACTCATGGACTCCCACATTCCGTGGACCACAGTGTGTGGAGGGAATTCTGTTAGGTTGCATCCAAAAATACCCCTTAGGTTTTCTTTCCTTGGAGATTTAGAAGTTGCGCCAAAAAACATTCTTACAGAGATGCAGCGGTTTGACTTTTCTTTGTAAAATGTAGCTAGCACCATTGGTCCATCTGTTCTCTAACTTTTGCTTTAGCTTAAGACCTCATGGTCCCTGGTGAAATCAGCACCAGAACTGAGGTTTTTGTTCCATTCCAAAGTGATTCTGAATTCTGTCATCAAGTTATCTCCCGGTTTCCCCCCTCCTTTTTGTCTTTTTTTTTTTTTTTTTGACAGTTATTACACTTGGCTGCTTGGCATAGAGCTCACAATCCTACTGCGTCCACATCCCAGCTCCTGGGACTTTAGTTGGAAGCTCCCACTGTGTCTGGTTTCCTTAAAGCTCTGCAGCAATTAGATTGAATTAACAAGAGAACTTTTGGTCCTAGTAACCACACATTAAAAAAAATAGATGTTGTGTTTATCCACTAAAGTTAACATATTTTTCAGATACCCCTAACTTCTCCTTTGTGAAAGGAAGTCTGGAGAGCATGTGCTCTTCTTTTCTATATTGGGAAACTGAGGCATTGGGATTGAGACCCTGTATATACAAACACTGGACCTAGGGTCATATTATAAAGGATTCATTAAATTATTCCTGATTTACCAAACATTTGTAATGAATCTGCTGTGAGCCCTGTTCCAGGCATAAGATGCAGGTCAGGCCTCTCCATTGCCTGATGGTAAACAAGTAAGTAAGTAGTTAAGCCTTTTCACAATGTCCCCTGAAAAACAAATCAAGAGAGATATAAAGTTAATGACTGAAAATGACTGCTTTCTAGACAGTGGTTGAAAGACGCCCATTTTAAGCAGGTGACATTTGAATTGATATTCAAGTGAAGAGCAAATCAATCATTTATAGAGTATAAAGAGGGATCCAGAACTGCCAAGGCCAACAGCATGAGCCAGCTTTGGGGGATCAGTCCTCTGAGTGGTGTTGAGACTTTTTAAAACAGTAAACGATGAGAAAGGATCATGTAAATGATATCTAGCATGACTCCCAGTGACCCCTGCCCCTGGGGTACGTGTCCTCGTGTGACTTCTGTCCTTTGAATGGGGGCAGAGCGGTGACCTGATGTCGATCAACAGAACACAGCCAGTGTGGTTGATACCGTTTTAGAGACTAGATCATGCCAGGTTCTGACTGTTTCTTGCTGGCTTCTCTCCAGTTCTTTTTGTGTGGCTACTCTGAGGAGGGAAGATCGCTTGGCAAGGAAGGAATTGAGAGTGGTTATCTGTCACACTTTATAAAGACCTGAGTCTTGCCAACAACCACGGAGCAAGTTTGGAAGCCTATCTTTCCCCCATCGAGCCTGCAGATGAGGCTGGAACCTCAGTCAACTCTGATTACAGCTTTCCGAGAGTTCCCTAGGCAGGGGACCCAGCTGAATCCTACCCAGATTTCTGATTCCCGCATGACTGCTGTTTAAGTCATTTGGTATGTAGTATGTAGGGCTGGGTTGGGTAATTCATATGTAGCAAGTGAAAATGAGTTAGCTCTGAAGAAGACTCGACAGGATGCATGTGAGATTACTAAACTCTAGAGCAGGTAGGGCCCACCCAGGCAACTGCTGAGAGTTTGCTCTTCCTGTACCCATAAGGCTGAAGTAAGTGGATTTCCCCAAATTCCAGGCAGACATAGGCTGCATAGTGAGTTCCAGGCCAGACAAGGCTACAGTGGGAGACTCTGTCTCAAATAAAACAAAGTAAACAACAATAACAAACAAAATCTAAACAAACTAGGTCTTCCTTCTTCTATTAGTAACTTCTTATTGGTGCCCTCACTGCAGAGCCCTCACTGCAGAGTTCTCACTGCAGAGTTCTCACTGCGGAGCCCTCACTGCAGATCCCTCACTGCAGAGTTCTCACTGCGGAGCCCTCACTGCAGATCCCTCACTGTGGAGCCCTCACTGCAGAGTTCTCACTGCAGAGCCCTCACTGCAGAGTTCTCACTGCAGAGTTCTCACTGCGGAGCCCTCACTGCAGATCCCTCACTGCAGAGTTCTCACTGCGGAGCCCTCACTGCAGATCCCTCACTGTGGAGCCCTCACTGCAGAGTTCTCACTGCAGAGCCCTCACTGCAGAGTTCTCACTGCAGAGATCTCACTGCGGAGCCCTCACTGTGGAGTTCTCACTGCAGAGATCTCACTGCGGAGCCCTCACTGCAGAGTTCTCACTGCGGAGCCCTCACTGCAGATCCCTCACTGTGGAGCCCTCACTGCAGAGCCCTCACTGCAGAGTTCTCACTGCAGAGCCCTCACTGCAGAGTTCTCACTGCAGAGATCTCACTGCGGAGCCCTCACTGCAGAGCCCTCACTGCGGAGCCCTCACTGCGGAGTTCTCACTGTGGAGCCCTCACTGCGGAGCCCTCACTGCGGAGCCCTCACTGTGGAGCCCTCACTGCGGAGCCCTCACTGCGGAGCCCTCACTGCGGAGCCCTCACTGCGGAGCCCTCACTGCGGAGCCCTCACTGCGGAGCCCTCACTGTGGAGCCCTCACTGCGGAGCCCTCACTGTGGAGCCCTCACTGCGGAGTCCTCACTGCAGAGATCTCACTGCGGAGATCTCACTGCGGAGTCCTCACTGCAGAGATCTCACTGCGGAGATCTCACTGCAGAGCCCTCACTGCGGAGTCCTCACTGCGGAGATCTCACTGCAGAGATCTCACTGCAGAGCCCTCACTGCAGAGTTCTCACTGCGGAGTCCTCACTGCGGAGATCTCACTGCGGAGCCCTCACTGTGGAGCCTTGACTGAAGAATTACCATACTACCCCTGTCTTCTGTATCTCAATTTCCATAGCTAATTATGAATAAAGACTATGAACTCTTTACACCTTGAAGAAGCGAAGTCATAACTGTTTCTCCAGGCTGGTTATACTCTTCAATGCCCCCTACCCCAGTTTCCTGTGTTGCTGGAGTACTCATAGGTGGGGCATTTTGGAATAGGGGGACCATGAGGGCTCAGAGCGCATAGATACAGTGTTCCAGAGGTAGAGTTATACTTTAAGAGATTTGGGGGAGATGCTTCTCTACTGCTTTCTGGCTACTGTGAGATAGGCCGTTCTGCTCCATCGTGTGTTCCCTCCCTCATGTTCTTTCTTACCATGGCCCAGAGACAGTGAAGCCATGTGGCCAGGGACTGAGACTTTGGCGCTGTAGGCCAGAAGAAATCTTTCTTTCTTTTAAATGTTGATTCACTTAGGTCTTTTGTGACAGTGATGGAAAGCTGACTAGCTCATGCTTATAGACTGTGGAACAGTTCTAGGAGCCCCATGGATAGCCACGTCGACAGGTACCCAATTCTCCCATCTACTTGTTTTTCTTCATTTGCCCATACTATACCACTTTACTAGTGAGCTACGCCTTTACACCCCCACCCTGTGTACTCTCAATCAACTCTAGACAACTTGTAATTCTTTTGAATCCACAGACATAGAAGCCACAGCATAGAAAGTCAGCTGTGTTAGGTGGAATAGACCCTTAAAGTCACCAGTGAACATGCTCAAGAGGGGGTGGGGGAATCTTGGGAGTGCAAGCGATTGCACGGACACCAGTGTGTACACAGCTATGCATGTTCATGAGATCTGTGTGTACAGAGATGATCGTGTGCCTGGGAAGAGAGAAGGAAGCTCCGTCTCCTGCTGCATCCCCGTGATTCTCTTTCTCTCACACACTCATTCTGCCTTCCTATAGCCCTCCCTGCCAGAAGCTGGCAGACGACCTCTGGATTCAGAGATGGATTAACTCCCTGAGCCAGGGTAAAATTATAGCAAAGTCAGAAGCGACTGAGGTAGCGGAAGGCCCCACACTATTTGTGGCGGGGCCGCCCAGGGGCTCTTGTAGACCCACGTGTAACATGCATTTCTGGCATGAAGACCGTGTCAATTACTGGGCCGATCACATCTCAGCTGACGCCTGCAATGAAGCTTGCTCCTCGTCTGCCACATCATTCAAGGTCGAAAGAAAAGAGGGTGGGTTTCATCAGGGCCTATCCTATCTTTGTCCTTTGTTCTGGAAAGTATTTGCATACCTAAAGGGAAATGGCCTCTTTAATTTCTTTCCCTTCTCCTGATCAGATGAGGCCTATTAAGAAGCGCTCTGTATCCTGTAATCAGACAATTTATACAGCATGCACCCTTAGGCAACAGCTATTATAAACAAGCTGGAGAAATCCTTTACAATAAATGATCAGCATGGGAAGACACCATTCATAATTAATTTTTTTTCCTGTTTTTGTTGGCAGATGGTCTGAGGCATCCAAGCATGGCCTATTGCCCACATCTTTATTCTGAATAGAGCAGGACAGCCTTGGGAAAATGGGGGCCGTTCAGTTAGCTCACTTGAAAAACATAATGTAACCCCTCCCTCTCATCCTATTGGCGTTCAAGGCTTGAAGAAAGCCTTCGGGAGGAGTGCTGGTGGGTCACATGGCGGTTCCTCCTGGCCCCTTCCCCGCCTTATTAATTAGAAGGTGTTACAAGCTTCCTGCCAGATTGATTGCATTAAGCGACAAGCTCCCCATTCCCACCGTTCACCGTGCAACTCTGTCACACTCTGAATCAGGGATCTGCAAGCAGCTCGCCTTGGCTAATGGGGTGTGATGCGCAAACAGGCTTGAATGGCACTTGGCCAGCTCGACCTGTGACTTCGTTCCGTCTCCTGCTGCCTTACGATCTTGCGCAGGCTAGCCTGCTGGCTGTGGATGGATACCTGAAGTAGACGGAGTTCCTCCATTCATCTCAGCTGAGATCTTCCTAGAAGGCCTGAGCACCAGACATACGACCCAGGTGAGATAAGCCACGTGGAAGCCCCACAGGCTGGGCTGCTGAATATAGGCCTACTGTTAAATCCCAAAGGTTCTACTGGTTTGAATGTTCAATATAGCAATGAATACAACTTTCAAACTAATGGAAAATCTCTTTGGTTGTGGAGAAACAGGATCTGGAAACCCATACGCTAAAGCCTTCTTCTACTGCTGGCACATGTGTCTCACTCCCAAGGCTTCAACATCTGTGGCTAGGACAGTTGACAAGCTGGTGTGTAGGTGCCGTCCCATCTGTTATCTAATGATGTGGGGTGTGTGTGTGTATATACATTTATTTTGCTTTGAAAGTTACTTCTGGGTCCTGGAGAGATGGCTCAGAGATTAAGAGCTCTGGCTGCTCTTGCAGAGGACCTGGTTTCAGTTCCCAGCACCCACATGGCATCTCACGACGATGTGCGATTCCAGTTCCAAGAGCTCCTACACCCTTTTCTGGCCTCTATAGGCACAAGACATGCATGCAATGCACAAAAGTATATGCAGGAAACACTCACACACATAAACCAAAAATAAGTGAATCTTTAAAAACAGTTGCCTTTAGAGTGAGACATGTTTGAGAGCATCGCCTCTCTCTGCAAAGGCTTCTCTTTGTTCTTTACTATTAATCTGTGGATCAGAAGCCTTGACAGATACCTGAGTTTCTGTTCTTTATTATCAGTCAGGCAAGCTCTGAAATCTCTTGTTGAGGGCTGGTGTGCACTCCCAGGAGGCCTTCACTGTCAACATCATCAGCTTCATGGAATCCTTTGGAAGGCAATACCAATCGGCCCTGCGTGGAACTCTGGTTTTAGCCAAACATTTGCGCTGAATGACTCTTCGCTGGTAGGGAGCTGTGTTTGTTGGCCTTAAGGAGGCAGGGACATCTGTCTAGAGGTGTGCTTTGGTATGCAGAGTTTAATTCTGGTGCTCGGTTGAGGTGTCAGTGTTTGCAGGGTTGTCTGTGCACAGGCCAGTGAACACCCTCCCACTGGCAAGTTTAAGGATATCATGCCAGATATACAAAACCAACATGGTAGGGCAGTTTGGGTCACAGGAACTGGTGAGTGCTTTTCTTGCTCCCTGAGCCCATTGCTAATTATTTACCAAGACACTGGTTTGGACTGTTTTTTAAGGAAATTATCAGGCATTGTTTTGGTCTTTAATGAGTGGCTTGGGTACGGGATGGGGCAGACACAGCTGCGGGTATCAGTTTCACTCAAATTTCGGGCCTAAATATCAGGGAGGACAATTGTAATTTGGGAGGCTGAGGTGGGAGGACTGTGTGTTCAAGGTCACCATGGCAGCCCGGGCAACACAAGCTCAAGCTCAAAACAGACCTGGACTACTGTTACAGGTTGGATGTGAAGTGTTCCCCTAGAAGGCTCATATATTGATGGCCTGGTCCCCAGTGCAATGGACAAAGATAGGGATTTGGGGAAGCAGCTGGTACGTGAGGGCTCTTACCTAGCCCGTGGATTGATCTACTGATAGATCCATAATTGAATGGACCATTGGGTGTTGGTGCTGTGGAAAGTGGAGCCTGATTGGGGGAAATAAGTCACTGAGCAGGTGGCTTTGAAGGGTATGTCTTCATACCTACTACTGTCTTCCCTGGCTCTCTGCTTCCTAGTCTCTAGAAAGCAAGCAGCCTTCTTTGTCACATGCTCCAGCTGCAATGACTCTCTGCCCGACTGCAGGCCCATTGCAATCTGGAGCCGGCCCACCATGGACTGAAACCTTGAAGCTGAGCCAAGATCTACTTTCTCCCTTTAAGCTGATTTGCTCAACAAAAATTACTACACAGCTACATAGAGAGACCCTGTCTCGAAAAGGTAGTGGTGGTGGAATTTGTGTGAGCATAGATGTTTGGAAGCCACAAACAGTGACTCTGTCCCTCCACCACAAAGCTGAGACCTAACTTCTGCTCAGGAGTTGCGCTGAAGAAGATCGGATAAGGGGACCTTGCCGCTTCTGTGCATCAAATCTGCTGTGTTTTCTTTTTGCATGGGTATTTTTACTTGACCTGGGGCCTCGCTAACCTGGAGTCAGCCAAGCCTGAGGACAACAAGGTCAGTGCACCACATTCTTCACCCACGATGCCCAAGTAGCTTGGTGAGTCACTGGTGAGGATAGAACTCCTTTACGTAGATTTCTCCACTGGCATTGGTTCAGATCAGTTCCCCTCCCTTTCCCAGTTTCCCTTGCGTGTTCTCTAGCCATGGTGGACTTTGGTACATTAGCCCCTCCAGCATGAGCTCGGATTTGACAAAATTGCCAGGGGACACTTTGCTTGGCCCTTAACAAGTTGGCAGTCTATTTTCAAGCTTCTCTGGTCATATAGGAAGAGCTAATTTATTTCTGGAAAAACCTCATCATTATTAATAATAATTGCATTCTATTTGCCATTGCTAGTTGGATTGCAAAAACTGGGCTATTCTTGGCTGCAATGAGTATGTCATCTCCTGAATGGGCAGCCATCATTCCTTGCCCTGGAAGACATTGCTAATCTGTCTGGACACTGGCTCAGTTCAGATTAGGAATAGACTTCCCGGGATTCTTACGCAGCTATCACCGACTGCTCAGACCTGGCATGAATAGGAAATCTACTCCAGTTGCTCTGCCTTTATGGTACAGGTTTCAAAAAGAGCTCTTGAATATGGTCTCTACTAGTTGATATTGTACTCTGTTTTGATCGCATCCTTTTTTTTGACTCAGGTGTATGAAACGTTGTTCCTCAAAATAAGCAAAAATCTTCAGTACTCTCTATCTACACGGACTGTTTGACACCATTTTGTAACCTTCACTGGGGACCAATGAGGTGCTCAATAAATATTTGGTTGAAGAATTACCTAAGAGACTCTCAACTGATTAACTAAGGGATACAATAGAATGAAAACTGAGGCAAAGCTTTACTTGCAGGCAGCTATCAAAGTACATCTTGGGGCAGCAGCCGG